GCTAGACAGAGAGAGCTCGTTCTCTGCCGTCCCCCTCCAAGCGGCACGGCCCTTGCCTCAGGAGCGCGCGCTCCGGCCACTTCCCTGTACCCCGCTTCCTCCCCAGCCTGTCACAGCTCCATCCAGCACCGCTCCAGTCTCGGGAGCGTGAGCTCCGGTTACCTCTCTGAACCCAGATCTCATCCCAGTGCGCTACAACTCTGCCCAGCACCGCCTCTGCCTCGGGAGCAAGAGCTCCAGTTACTTTCTGGTACCCAGTTTCCATCCCATGTTGGCACAACCCCCATCTGGCAGTAGCTGGCATCAGACCGTCCTTCACAACTTTTGCTATATATATATATTTTTTTTTTTTTTTTTTGCTTTTGCTTTGAGATCATGATGGCTTCCCCTGCTTTCTTTGCTTCAGCTGGAGCATAATAAATTCTGCTCCATCCCTTAGCTTTACCTTGTGTGTATCTCTCTGTTTCATATGTGTTTCTTGTAAACAACATATTGTAGGATTTTGGTTTTTAATCCACTCTGCTATCTGTTTCCATTTTTTGGGTGAGTTTATCCCATTCACATTTATAGTTATGATAACTGTGTATTTCCTTCTTGTTTATTTTTTTTTTTTGTTTATCCCCCCTCTCTCTAATCACCCACCTTTTCCCTCCTCACAACTATTCTACTTCTTATCACCACCTTCCCAAATCTACCCTCCCTTTTTATTAGTCCCCTCTCTCCCTTCTATTTTCTCTTTTCTTTTTTACTTCCATATAGGGTAAGAGATTTCTGTATCCAACTGAGTGTGTATGTTATTCCCTGTTGAGCCACTTTTGATAAGACTAAGGTTTAAGCTTTGCCCGCCGCGTGCCACCCTCACCCCCCATCTTCCCTTCCATTATAGTAGCTTTTTCATGCCTCTTTTATGTGGGGTAATTTATTTACTCCATTCAGTCTTCCCCCTTCTTCTTCCACTGACATTTTCTTTCTCATTCCTTTATTTTTTTGGGGGGGGATCCCATCAAAGTCACCTCATATCCATACCCTTTGTCTTTATATACTCCTTCAAATTGCTCTTATAAAATTGTTAAGAGTCACAAATATTATCTTGCCATACAGAAATATAAACAGTTTAACATTATTGAATTTCTTCTGGTTTCTCTTGATTCTCTTTTCTCTTTTTATGTTTCCCTTGAGTCTTGTATTTGGAGGTCAGTTTTTTTATTCAGCTCTGGTCTTTTAATTAGGAGTGCTTGAAAGTCCTCTATTTCGTTAAATATCAGTTTTTTTCCCTGAAAGATTATATTCAGTTTTGCTGGGTAGGTGATTCTTGGTTGTAATCCTAACTTCTTTGCCTTCTGGTATATCATTCCAAGCTCTGAGATTCTTTAATGTGAAAGCTGCCAAATTCTGTGAGCTCTGGAATTTAGCTGTGTTGTTCCTGGGAATTTCTGTTTTGGGAACTCTTTCAAGTGGTGAGCAGTTGATTTCTTTCAGTTTCTATTTTGACCTGCAGTTCTAATATTTCAGGGCAATTTTCTTTGATAATTTCTTGAAAGATGTTATCTACGCTTTTTTTTTTTTTAATCCTGGCTTTCAAGTAATTCAATAATTCTTATATTATCTCTCCTGGATCTATTTTCAAGGTCAGTTGTTTTTCCAGTGAGAAATTTCACATGTTCTTTTTTACTTTTTTGGTTTTGTTTTATTATATCTTGATGTCTCATAGTCCTAACTTCCACTTGCTCAATTTTACTTTTTAAGGAATTTTTTTTTTCAGCGAGTTTTTGTACTTCCTTTTCCATTTGGCCAATTTTATTTTTTAGGGAGTTATTTTCCTTGGTAAATTTTGTATATCTTTTCCCATGCTATTAACTATTTTCATGATTCTCTTGCATTACTCATTTCTTTTCCCAGTTTTTCTTCTACTTCTCTAATTAGATTTTTAAAATCTTTTTTAAGCTTTTCCAAGAATCCTTTTTGGGCCAGAGACCAAATTACATTTTTCTTTGAGGCTTCACATGTAGTTATTTTGACACTATTGTCCTCTTCTAAGTTTATGCCTTGCTCCTCCCTGTTACCACAGTAGCTTTCTGTAGTCAAGTTCTTTTTTTGTTTTTTGCTCATTTTTATGTTGTTTTTTGGTTTGTTTGTTTCTGACTTGGTGTCTTTATGTGAGAGTTGGGCTCTGGTCCTGCACTGTCCCAGGCTTTTTCTGCTGAGGCTCTGGGTCTTACTGCTGGCTTTCACTGGCCTTCAGGGCTTAGTTGCTTGCCTTCTCTGGAGGGTAGGCTTCCCTTCTGGCTTGTACTGGTGGGGAGGGGGGGACCTCCCTGTTGGCCTCCCCTGGGTGTGGGAGCTGATGTTCCAGGGATGAGGCCTTGCTGCTGGGTTGCTATGGTAACAGAGTCTTTCTAGTGGCTGATCCTGGAGGAGGGGTCTTGTTGCTGATCTGCCCCAGGGGTGGGGCCCTGCTGCTGGGTTGCTATGGAAACAGGGCCTCTCTGCTGGTGGGCCATAGGGACAGGGTCTCGATGTTGGCCAGACCCAGGGTAGGGCTTCACCACTGGTCAGCAGTGGGGTCAAGCCTGTGCCGGTGGCTTCAGCTGGGGGTGGGGTCCCTGGGGTGGGGCCTTGCTACACTGCACAGACTGCTCACTTGCCCAGCGGGCTGCTGGTTGGCAAGGGTGGACCTGGTGGATTGCCCCAGGTTTGGAGACTTGCTGCAGGCCCCTGCTGTGAGGCTGGCTGCTGCTGCTGCTGCTGCTCTTGGACCTCGCTCCCCTCCCACCCCAGTGAGACAGACCTTTCCTGCCCGACTGGTGGGCTGTTTCCCTGCTCCTCGATCAGTTCTGAGGTGGTTTTCTAGTTGTCTGGAGGGGAATTAGCGGGGGCTTCAGAGGGTTCCTTCCTCCTCCCAACATGTTCTAACGCTGCTCTGCTCGTTTGTGCCCCTCTCAGAGCCCCCTTCTGCTTGCTTCTCTGCACTGATGTCTAGCTCTACTTGCCTTCCTTGGAACAGATGAGTATAGCGAACTCCACACATTGGCCATTGCGTTCATCAGAGCTCGTGAGTCTTTCCAAATGGTTTTCCTTTTTAGGTTTATTGTGTAAATTGTTCTCTTTGGCCCGCTCATTTTACTTCACATCAGTTGCTGTAAGTCTTCGAGGATTTCTCTGAATCTCTCCTTTTTGTCACTGCTCGTGGAGCAAGAACATTTCTTTCTAACCATTTCCCAGTTGATGTACGGCCACTTTGTTTCCATTTCTTTGCTCTTCCAGAGGTGCTGGGTCTTTTAACTGCCCTCCCCGTCCATGTGTATGGAGTGGAACGAAGGCAATCCTTAGCCAGGAGTGCCGTGGCTGTAAGGAAGCATCTCATGCTGTTCCTTTCCTTCCTAGTGTGCTCTTGGCTCTGAAGTGGCCCTTCGAGTTGGTGGAAAGTTCTTCTTTGACCCTCAGCCTTCAGATTCTCCTGTGAACCTGGTGCTGATAGCTGGTGGAGTGGGGATCAACCCTCTCAATTCCATCCTGCTGCATGTAGCTGATCTTTACAGACATCGGGAGAACAAAGGAAGTGGTTATGAGATGGGAAGAGTGAGACTGTTATACAGTGCAAGAAATACCAGCGAATTGTTATTTAAGGTGGGTGAGCACAGTGATGCGAAACTAGGCCCAGTTGTCATTCTGCCCTCACACCCAGCAAAGCTCTTTCTCCTCTGTGGGATTAGAAAAGCAGAGGCCTTCATCTTCAAAAGAGGCAACATATTGTACACAAGAGAGTTAGGATAGTAAATATTGGGTGCACCATAGAACGGGGCAGAGTCTCCCCTCTCTGGAATGAGTTCAAGGGGCTTTTTTCTGCCTGCATCTGACCAGGGACAGCATGGACAATCTGACTATGTCCCTATGGCTACAAGCTCTGCCCCAAGGTTCACGAGCTCTAGAATGGCAAAGCTTGTTGGAATGAACATGTTTGGTTGGGAACCACATAGCTTGTTGGCTTTGCATCTTCACCAAAAAAGAACAAGGGTGGAGAAAGTTAAAAGATGGAAATGTGGTCAGTGAAACCACAGCTGAATTATTAGTGCTTGAGAAAAAGCAATCCCAGGAGTTAGTAATATGCTTGTTAGCATATTCATATTTCAATTAAAGCCAAATAATGCAGTGCATTTTAAATGCTCCGGCCTGGTGGGCTGCAAACAGTGTGTCTCTAAGTAGAGAGGGAGGAGGGGATCTGGGGTGTGGGCAGATGTGGAGGGCATGCTTAGCATGGTCGGGGGGGCAGGGGGGTCTGGATGCTGTGATTGGGCACATCTGTTGGGATTCCTTCAACTGTGGTGTAACTAAATATGTTTAACATTCCAGAGGAGCATTCTCAATTTAACAAATGCATTTCCTGGGAAAATTACGTGTAGTTTCTATGTTACACAACAGACTACAGAAATCAGTGAAGAGCTTCTGCCATATGTTACTGGTGAGTGAGGCATGTATATCCACCCTAAAGATGCTCTGACCATCCAGGCCAGAGATTTGGGGGGGTGGGTCAGTAAGGGATCAAACTTTAGTTTGTTTTTTAAAATGTATTTATTGTAAACATTCTTATTTTTGGGGAAGGGGGTATTAAGTGACTTGTCCAGGATCACACAGCTAATAAGTGTCTGAAGCCAGATTTGAACTCAGGTCCTCCTGACTCCAAGGCCTGTATTCTATCCACTGTGCCACCTAGCTGCCTTGCATTCTTTTCTTTTTAAATTTTGAATTCCAAATTCTCTTCCTCCCTTCTACCCCTTTCCTTCCCCATTGAGAAGATAAGCAATATATTAATTATATGGATAAAAAGGGCAGCTAGGTGGCACAGTAGATAGAGTGCTGAGCCTGAAATCAGGAAGACTCATCTTCATGTTTGCCTCAGTTTCCTCATTTGTAAAATGAGCTGGAAAAGGAAATGGCAAACCACTCTAATATCTTTGCCAAGAAAACCCCAAATGGGGTCATGAAGAATCAAACATAATTGAAAAATGATTTAACAGCAACATGTAGAATCATGCAAAACGTATTTCCATACCACAAAAAAGAAATAAATGAAGGAGCAAACAAACAAATAAGCAAATAAATAAAGTGAGATTATACCTCAGTTTGCACACAGAGTTCATCAGTTCTCTCTCTGGAGGTGAATAGCATTTTTTTCATCATGAGGTCTTTGGACTTGTCTTGGGTCATTGTATTGATCAGAGTAACCAAGTGTTTCACAGTTGGTCATCATTACAACATTGCTGTTACTATGTACAGTGATCTCCTGGTTATTCTTACTTCACTTTGCATCCGTTTACATAGGTCTTGCCGTGTTTTTTCTGAAACCACCCCCTCATTATTTTTTATGGTACACTAGAACCCTATCACAATCATTCCATAACTTGTTCAGCCATTCCCCAATTCATGGGCATCCCTTCAATTTCCAACTCTTTGCCACCACAAAAAGAGCTGCTCTAAATGTTTTTGTACATATAAGTCGTTTTCCTTTTCTTTGATCTCTTTGGAATACAGCCCTAGAAGTGGTATTGCTGGGCCAAAGGGGATCCACAGTTTTATAGCCCTTGTCCCACAAATTGCTGTCCAGAATGGTTGGACCAGTTCACTGTCGCATCAGCGGTTCATTAGTGTCACTGTTTTCCCCTCATCTCCTTCAGCATTTGTCATTTCTTATAGGTGTGAGGCGGTACCTCAGAATTGTTTTAATTTTCATTTTTGCTCATCAGTAGTGATTTAGAGCATTTTTTCATATGATTAATAGATAGCTTTGATTTCTTCTTCTGAAGACTTCCTGTTCATATCTTTTGACTATTCATCAACTGAGGAATGGCTCTTATTTTTATAAATTTGTTTGAGTTCCCTATATATTTAAGAAATGAGGTCTTTTTACAGCAAGTTTCTCTGATAAAATGTTTGATATTACTTCATTGTCTATGGTACCATTTAGCAAAATGTAGTTTCCCTGACTGTCTCTTTCAGTTAGGTTTATTTTTGCTTTACCTTTGTCTGAAATCAGGATTGCTGCCCGTGCCTTTTTTTACTTAAGCTGAAGCATAGTAAAGTCTGCTCCAACCCTTTACTTTATGTGTCTTTCTGTTTCTGGTATGTCTCTTGTAAACAGCATTGTTGGATTCTGGTTTCTAATCCATTCTGCTGTCTGCTTCTGTTTTATAGGTGAGCTTGTCCCATTCACATTCACAGTTACGATTCTAACTGTGTACTTCCCTCCATCCCATTTTCTTCTGTTTATTCTCCCTCTCTTTTTGTCCTGTCCCTCCTCAAAAGGCTATTTTGCTTCTAACTACTTCTTCCCTTAATCCACCCTCCTTTTTGTCACCCCCTACCCACTTTCTCTTACCCCCTTCCTCTCCTATTTCCCTATTGGGTAAGTTAGATTTTGGTACTCAAGTAAGTATGTAGATAGTCTTACTTCTTTGAACCAGTTGCAATGAAAGTAAGGTCCAAGCCTGCTACTCCCCCTACCCATTTTTCTTTCCACTATAAAAATTCTTCCTTGCACACCTCTTTTATGTGAGAAAATTTTCCCTGTTCTCCCTCTCCTTTTTTCCTTCTCCCAGTGCTTCCCTCTTTCTCACTCTTTATTTTTTTGGGGAGATCATTCCAACATAATCAGCTTCTTCCCATGCCTTCTATCTGTGTCAACTCTTTTAACTGCCCTAATAATGATAGCATTCTTAGGAGTTACAGGAATCATTTTCATATATAGAAATATAAACAGTTTAACCTTATTGAATCCCTTGTGATTTCTCCTTCATATTTTCCTTTTTTATGTATCTCTTGAGTCTTGTGTTTGAATATCAGATTTTCTATTCAGCTCTAGTCTTTTCAACAGGAATATTTGAAAGTCCACTATTTCATTAAATATCCTTTTTTTCCCCTGAAGGATTATACTCAGTTTTGATGAATAGGTTATTCTTGGTTTTAATTCTGGCTCCTTTGCCTCCCAGCATGTCATTTTCCAAGCCCTCTGCTCCTTTAACGTGGAAGCAGCTAGATCTTGTGTGATTCTCACTGTGCCTCCACGATATTTGAATGATTTGTTTCTGGCTGCTTAAAGTATTTTCTTCTTGACCTGGGAGCTCTGGAATTTGACTATATATTCCAGGGAGTTTTCATTTGGGATCTTTTAGGAGGTGATCAATGCATTCTTTCAATTTCTATGTTACTCTCTGGATCTAAGGTACTGGGGCTGCGTTCCTTGATGATTTCTTGACATATGATGTGTAGGCCTTTTTTTGATCATGGCTTTCTTGTAGTCTGATAATTCTTAAATTAACCTCTCCTTGATCTTTTTTCCAACTCAGTTGTTTTTCCAATGAGATATTTCACATTTTCTTTTATTTTTTCATTCTTTTGACTGATTTTTTGTTTCTTGATGTCTCATGGAGTCATTAGCTTCCAAGAGCCCAATTCTAATTTTTAAGGAATTATTTTCATAATTCTTGTACCTCTTTCCGTTTGGCCAAGTATTTTTTTTAAAGGAGTTCATTTCTTCATTTAATTTTTGTGCCTCATTTGCCAAGCTGTTAATTTTCTTTACATAATTTTCTTGCATCACTCTCATTTCTTTTCCCAATTTTTCCTCTACCACTCTTATCTCTTTCATGAACTCTTGCAGAAATTCTTGTTGGGATTATGTCCAATCAGCATTTTTCTTCGAGGCTTTTTTGGTAACTGTTTTCACATTGTTGTCCTCTGAGTCTTGGTCTTCTCTGCCACTGTAGTAGCTTTTTATGGTCAGATTCTTTTGTGGTTATTGTTTGCTCATTTTTCCGTCCTGTTTCTTAACTTTGAATTTTATGTTAAAGCGGGGCTCTGCTCACCTACAGACAGGGAGGCACTGTCCCACACTTAAGGCCATTTTGTGCTGCTGTTTTCCTAGCTAGTTCTGGAGGTCTGCAAGCTTTCAATGTTCCAGAGTTGTGTGATCTGGGGAGAGGTGAGGCCACTTCTCTCCAGGTTGGTGCTCTGGTCTTTATCAGCTGCACGCCCTAGCGCTCTTCTCTGCCTGAGAATGATGACAAATGCTGGGACTGTGACCCTGAACTGCATATGGACAAGAGATTGGCCACTCAACGCCTGCTGCACCCAGTGCCAACAGAGGGTCCCTTCTAATCTTTTTCTGACCACTTGCCCACCCCCCTCACCATGTCTGGACTGAGAGCTCTTGGAGTTGCTGCTGCCGTAGCAGCTACTGCTGCCGCCACCACTAATCTGGGCTCTGTTCAGACCTCGACCCTGCTGCTACAGACTGCTCGTACTGACTATTAAGTTTTCTTAGGCTGAAAAATATCTCATCTCCACCTTTTGTTGACTCTGCTGCTCCCAAATTTGATGTGAGGTGTTATTTTAAAGTTATTTGGGGCGGAGTGTTGGGAGTTGCTGCCTCTAATCCACCATCTTGGCTCCATCTCCAAAACTTTAGTTACTTTATAAGTAGTTGGAACTTGCAGGCAGTGTGGAATCACGGCCTGGGAAGGCCAAGAATGAATTATTAGAGAAAAACAGGGATAGAAAATAAGTTGAGTATGCTATTGTAAATAGGCCTTTTCACTTCTCATCTGAAGAATTTAATGTGTGCATTCTTTAATTGGCTTTTGTGTTATCACAGGGCTGCTTACACAGATTTTACATTCTAGTCTTGGCTGTGAATTTACACCATTTGCTGTTGATAGTAATTTAAATTTTACGTTTTACCTTCTCCATGAGGTTTTTTGTTGTATTTTTTTTTTTAAACAACTTACTTTGCTGAAAGTGGCTTTCAGTAAATCTCCACAAAACAGGCTGGCTTTTAAAAGTGTGCTTGGTCCCATTTCTAGCTTCACTACCCTCTGACTTAGGGAACATGGCAGTTTCTGCTCCCACTTGGGTCTTGAGGCCTTGGCTAGACCACATTTGACTCAGGAACAAGATTGCAAAGGGCAGCTCATAGCGCACAAACAACACAGGTGCTCACACACACACACCCACATATCCTGCTGCTTGGCTGTATCTAAACCAGCGTCTTTGAGCCAGATGGATGGACACGACTGATCTGAGGTGCTCTTGTGTTCTCTTTTTTGTCAGAGGGAAGGATCCCAGACAAGGATATCGAGAAACACATCTCTGAGGACACTTTGTATTTTCTCTGTGGCCCGCCACCAATGATAGAACACTTCTCTCGCCATTTAGAAGCCTGCAAGGTCCCTAAAGAGCACATTTGTTTTGAAAAGTGGTGGTAGCGGCAGAGATGAAGGAGAGAGTCAGGTGTCAGCTCACGGCAGTGACCGGGACTGGTTCTGTGCCATGTGCCTGCTGAGGCCCCAGGCCTCCCCCCCGGGGCCGCCCCAACACTGTCCACTGAGGCAACTTCCCAGTGAAAGGAGATGAGAATGAAGAAGTGTGTGTATATGGTGAAAAGCACTGAGAAGACCAAATCTGAGCAAAGGTATCATTGATGACAATATGTGGAGGATAGTTACCTGAGTGTCTTCCATTGATAATTCCTCGGTGATCCTATAATGCTCCCCATATTGGGCCGTTATTGATTTTTTGCCTTTTTTCTGGCGAGAGTGGGGGTGGGAGTGGCAAGAATGATATAGATTTACCCCTAAATATCTGAAACCCTTGGATTTGTGTGTGAAATATTGGCTATGTATAACTTCTCTTTTACAGAAAACTTGTGTAATTTATGTTCAATAAACCTATTTTAATCAGGCATTTTTTAACAGTACAAGTAGAAAATTAATTCTACTCTGAAAATCCATTGATCTGAAATGCCTCAGACCGCCTTGTTCTAGGCTACAGCCTTACTCCTTGGGGCTATGGTTTTGTCCTAAGGAGCCAAGGAAGATGGGGTTTTGAAGTAAGAAATTGGCAGGAAAATGAGCGCTGGTCGTTGAGCCGCGGACACGTTTGCTTTCTCGTCAGTAAGTGCCCCTCAGTGTGTACCAGGACTGATTGCCAGCCTCCTCTTGGGGTAAATCTCCCTCTGTGCCTTGGCTGTCGGTCCCGGTTACATCGGTCTGAGAAGGATGCTGCCTTCTGTGCCGCTTCCAGGGAGGATGGGTGGAACTGCAGAGAGCTGTCCTTTCTAGCCTGTGCAGAGTCTGCGTGAGGTTTGCTTCGGGGAGTTGCAGCAGGTTGTGCCCTCTTCATTGGGATGCTTCAGAAAAAAAGGTGCCCGAAGCATAACTAAGCCACCCTCCCACTGCCAGCCGTCCCAGGTAGCAGTGAGAACAGTCCCGTCACTGGGGATGGTGTAGGGATTTACAGGTGCCAGAGCAGGGCGTCCTTTGGCTAAGCATTAGAGGCACCAACTCCAGTTCAGAGAGGAAGCCAAGAAGGCCTGGCGGTGGCAGAGGGAGAGGGAGAGAGTCCTGGGCTGTCGAGTGGGGCTCTTTAGGTCATGCCACAATGGTGAGAATGTCGCTTTGGAAAGCATCTGCAGAAAAAGCTGTTTACAAGCCTGTCCCAGCCACTTGAGAGATGCTTGGTGCAGGAGCAAGTCTCTGCATTGTAGTTTGGGTCTCCGCATTTCAGGAAGCATCGCCTTTGCTGACCATAAGGGCAGCAAGGAGCTCAGGGGAAGGACCCACCTGCCTGAGGTTTAGGGGACTCAGAACGGACGGAAGGAAGTCTGGGCCAGTCTGGTCAAATAAACATAAAAAGACTGTCCTTTTTTGTTTTCTCTTGCTGCAGAGCTCACCAGAGGTGCTTTGGGGTGAAGGAAGGTGGCCTTTCAGGACATACATAGACCTAAAAATGTAATGGATGTGATTTGGTACCTTTTATTTTGGACTTAGTTGTAGACCGACGCTGGTGAAGCATCATGGCATGAGTCCTGGATGGGTTCCCATCTCTCCTCCGCTCTTCACCTGCTGTGATCTGGGGCCTCAGTTTCCCAGGTGTAATGAGGAGGTGGTTTTCAATGACCCTTATGAACTCTTCTGGCACTCTTGGGACCCATCACCGTTTGTCAAAATGTTCTGAACCTAGATAAGAATTTTCCTCAGTGAGAGAGATCATGAGGCACCTGATCTGAACAGAACATAGAAACCAATTCAGTAAAATAACAGAGTTCAGATCTGCACACACAGTCCATGCATGAGGTCTCTGGAAGGGCAGAGAGAAGCTAGGTTCCTCATGGCTCCTCAGCTCACCTGCTCGAGCTCCTGGAGCCCCGACCTCTGTGTAAGAAGGTGCACAGTTTGGTCCAGAGACTTGGTGGCACCAGGAGGCGGCTGCCTTGGCAGGGTGAGCCAGCTGGCTGGGGCCACAGGCCCCTTTGGGACCCAGCATGTGGTTTCTCTGCACCATGAGAGCACAGCTCAAAGTGGCCGTTCTCACCAAGCAGCACCGTGAGCCCTTGAGCAACCAAAGCTCATGCTATTTCCTAATCGATCAGCAGATCCGGGACTGATGCAAATACGTACATATGACTTGTTATTTAAGAAAAACAAAAAACAGATATGACTTATGTTTGATTTTTTTTTCCAGTTTTTTTTCCTTCAAAGAGATTGTATCTTTGAGAACTAATTTTAAATTATATTTCTACAGCACTCAAAGTTTGTCTCAGTTACTGATTTTTCAACACTAAAAGGTGCTTTTGTTGGCAGGCCTCATGGAAGTTGCCCCCAAACATGTCGACCTCGTAGTGACTTCCTTGAGCTGGCTCTCTGATGCTGGGCAGGAGCTGCCGCTGGCTCCATTTCAGTGGTCTTTGATGGGAACTAAAACTGAGATAATGATTTCTTTGGCAAGGCCCTGTTCGTGCCTCAGTTTACAGCTGACATGTGAGCCGATGCCTTTGGGAGAAGGCATAAATCCAGAGCCTTGATAAAGCCACCTCTGACCCCAGTAACCCAAGGTAACATTGCGACAAGCTCAGTTAGTCAGGTCCAAGGGACTAGGAATTGCCTGTATTTTCTGTTCTGTATTTTGCTGGGTCTGTGAATACTCCCTCCAAAGGTGCAGATTGAAAACAATCCACACTGTCTTTAAAAAAAATAAATAAGTTGATGTCTTTTATTCTTGCAGCACCTTCATTTCCAGATAAATCCCTCTCTTCCCCAATCCAATAGCCGTACCTTACAACATAAAGTGAAAAAGAAGAGACAAATGAGGAAGCAATTTAGCAAATTTGTCTGATGTGAAGTACAGTGTTCCTTACCCACAGCACCCCACCTCTACAATGAAGAGAAAGAGACAGGCTTCCATCTTAGGCCCATGTCCTCCCTTAAATTCTCCACAGGAGCTCCACTGGGCACAGTTCACTGTCCATCCATAGACAGTGTGTGTCTCCAAGGTATATTTACCATGGGCTAGTCATTCAAACTGTGGATCATAGCCTGGACAATAGTCTTCATTCAGGTAGTTTTTCCTGGATACGTGGTGAGGCCCAAGCCTTGAATGATGGTAGATCTTGTTCAGGAGTCTCTGCAGTGGCCAGGGGCACCATGTTACAAAATTTACCAAATTACCAAATTTACTCAATAAATAGCCACTCTCCACATGTAACTCAGAGTTGGCACACTTTAGCTGGACTGAACAAAGAACATCACTCTGGCCTTATTGATCAGAGTTGAGAGAGACTGCCACGTACATTTTATCTCCTTTTCTATGTGATAGCTTCTTGCCTACCAGTCTTTCTTATTTCAGCAGCAACAGCACATATTCACGTATTTAGTCTAGAGTAAATCACTGTGCTGTTTACTGAAATACAAGGTTGGGTCCCTGCCCTCAAAGAGCTTATAGTCTAGTTCACTGGTGTCAAATTCAAATAGAAACGAGTCACCAAACTATACACAAGGATCCCTGCAGGCCACAGATTGACTTAGAAAACCCTATATTAACATCATCTGTCTTCTTTTGTACTTTTATTTATATTGTCAGATATTTTCCAAATCTGGTTTGGGGCTGCGTTCTATAGGGGTGGGCCAGTGGAGGCCATGCGTTGGACATTTCTGGTCTAGTTCATAGACTGGCCATTCATATCAAAGGAAAACGAATTACTCAAGAAGTAAAGAATTTCTTCCTTATCCGGCCAAGTAGCTAGGTCTTCCTTCACCCACCGGTTACTGCCTGCTTCTGGATAACTTTGATCTGACAGAATTATGAGCCTGCCTCCTGGAACCTTCGATATAGACTTTCCTCCAGTAGGACTTGCAGTTAGCAGACCCAGCCCAAGAAGGGATTCCCTCCTCCCCCCTCACCCTGATAGTGCCATATTGCCGAATGATTTTTTTTAGGGTAAAGGGGAAGATGTAGAGGACGAATGACCTACTCTATTGGAGTCCAAGCAGACTTAATAAGATAGAATGGTTTTTGTAAACTATGACTCATAACAGTATTGCCCTGAGGAAGTATGTTATAACTGACACTTAGTTGTAGAAGTGGGGGGGGGGTCTCTGCATGTATATGCAGATGTGTAATTATGTGCACATCCAATGACTGTCACGTTTCCAATTTCACCCGTTACTGACTGTTTGGGCTGTGGGTGTTTTCTCTGAACGGAAAACAGTTCCCTCAAATTCCTGTCATTACGGTCTGGGTTATTATAAATATTTATGCTCTCATAATTTAGCATGACAACTCATTTAAAATAAAGCTATGATAAAAAGGTGGTTTTACGTTTTGTGTGTTTGTAAAGAAAAGAGGAAGCCCTTCCTGGCACTGGTATTAGAATATCCTATTTTACGTAGAACCTAAAAACTCAGTGATCACATTTGTGTGTGAAGATGATGCTGCTGGCAGGCTTCCAGACTCTTTGCTGCTGTGGCCAGGCTGTTTCAGACACTTGACTGTCCCTTTCAAAAACACCAACTTCCCTTTGAAGGGCATACTTACACTAGTGAAATCAGGGGGCCTCAAGAGAAGTTTACATTGTGTCCAGAAGTTTCTCTTCCTTGCCAACAGGTATGTTTTGTTAAGGGAAGTAAACAATTGAAATTGTGCATGGATTGACAGCTCCAGAGGCCACACACATTCTCTACTATCCTGGCCTAAATTATCCCCATTTTACAGATGAGGAAGCTGAGACCTGGAGAAGGTAGATGACCTAGCCAGACTCACACAGCTCTTAAGTGTCTGTGGCTGGATGCAAACCAAGGCTCCCCATCTCCAACCCAGTTCCTTTTCCAATGTGCTGGTACAGTGGACAATGCCTTGGACCTAATGTCAGGACAGCATTGTCAAGACTTTATGTCAGGAAGGTTTGAATCCCACCTCAGACACTTAGTAGCTGGGTGACCCTGGACCCCAGTCACTAAATCTCACTGAGCCTCAGTTGCCTTTTCTGTAAGATAAGGAAAATAGTGCATGTCATAGGGTTGTAGTGAGGATCAAATAAGATAGTCAAGTATTATAAGGTCAATCAATCAAGTATTTATTAAGCATCTGCTAGGTGCCAAGGACACACATAAAGAACGGAACAATCTCTGCTCACAAGAAGCTTACGTTCTAATGGAGATACAAGTTCACATAAAACTATACAGCACAAATATCCAGTTAATACAAAACACACAAGGCGGTTTGGTAGGGAGGGAGGGTGCCAGGGGCCAAGGGAAATCAGGAAAGGCTCCATGCTTCTGGAAGGTGGTGCCTGAGCTGCATCTGAAAGGGGAGAAATTCTCAGAGGTAAAGGTAAGGAGGGAGTGGGTTCCAGGCATGGGGACTTCCCAAGCTTTAGAGCACCATGCAGATGGGAGCTGTTGTATTTA